ATTTTCATGGAAAGTGTTCAGATGTACTACATTCCTTAGTTCCACCGGCTCTAAGCGTCAGTGCTTAGACCGTGTCATGCTATGCACATTCTAGCGAAACACGTTCATTCCCTTCATATGCCATTGGTGGGATGTAAGTTCCGATCGAGCAGCTTCTTCTCGGGAATAACTTCTTAAAATCTTCAAGTCTACGATTAACCGTTATCTTCCCTATATATCCGCATAAACTGTGCCTCTTATCATCTAACCGATACTTCGCCTGGCACCAACAGTTTTCACTTGAAATATATGTTCAAGAACTTAATTATGGCATTCGCATATATATATATATATATATATATATATATATATATATATATATATATATATATATATATATATATATGTATAAGGCCGAAACGTTGTAATAAATATGGCGAGAAAGATGAGGACAATAGTACGAATAATGTAAATAGTATACATAATACATACTCTCAGAAATATAGACAGACAAGAACATATGGCACAGTGGATAAAGGTGTTGGTTAAATCAAGTGACAGTGTGAGTTCAATACCTGGTTAAGACAGTGGAGTACTTGGAGAGGTGAATTAACAGGAGATAACTGATAACTGACATCCATTAGACATGGTACGTGGAACTAGAACAGTCTACCCCTGCAAGCGAAATATAGTGTTCACTTCGGCATTCCATCATCTGAAGAAGGCCGGAGCGTACAAACGTTGTCATAAATATGGCAACAAAGATGGGGACAATAGTCGGAATAGATATACCGTAGATATACTGTATTTGAAATAGGCGCCCCATTTTTAATCATTATAATGTCTTTATTGTAATACATAATACTCAAGGAATCTTACTAAAACAAACGCATTTGTATTTTACAAAGATTTGTCGAATACGCGGGTCGACAGTTGAATAGCACACTATTTAATAAATGAAAATATGGCGTCTGTTTCAAATAATGAGTACCTCCTATATTAAAATTTAATACGGGGTGCGATGGATCACTTGTCGTCTAAATTATACCACGGCCTCCAGACGACTTCGGAATCTCCTGCAACTAATCTGGACGGTCTTCTGGTTTAAGTTGGTGAATGCTGCCATAATACTTGCCTTCAGCTCATCTTTGGTGTTCATTCCAAACACCTTCGTAATCGTCATTAGACTCGTCCAGCTCTTTCTGAATTCTATGCACCGTCTTCAGATTGACACACAAACATTCTGAAATGCTTGTATTGGAGCTTCCGGCGCTAATGCCAAGCAGTACAGCATGCCGTTTCCAAAATTCTGGCGCAGTTTATTGTGCCATGATGCTCGTTTTATCACAGACGGTGGCCAACTAATTCTAGTATACTGCGCAGTCGACAAGCCAAAAACAACACGCATGCGCAGAATTAAAAATATAAAATGATAAAAATGTCCCCTGCGTGTGTGCGTGTATGTATGTGTGTGTGTGTGTGAGTTTGCGCACGCGCGTGTGTGTATCATAAACGTAGCATCTAGGTAGCTAATGTAAACAATGTCTGGTCTAAATAAAATTTTCCTTCTGTCGCATAATATGCACCTCATTCAACAAAATTATGAACGTTACTATTATTATTATGCATGATATGCTAAAGATTTTATATTTGTAGATTTACTACATAAAGCCCACATATGTGTACTGTGTATGTGTGTGTGTCTGTGGCCATATATGCGTGTGTGTGTTTTATTCGTGTGTGTGTGTGTGTGTGTTCATAAAACATAATGCAAAAGGAAATTGCAACTTCAGAGTATAAATAATAACCGCTGAATTACAGTAATTAATCACTTTCACACAGTAAAATCTGCACATGATCCAAAATATTGATGTATCTTTGGAATTCAGACCCCATATTAATACAATATATATTCCGCTTAAGCGTGAATAGAAGTTTGTACACTCACGGGCATATTCTCCTCCCTTTACAGCTAATAACACAATGCACACCGAGCTATTTCACAAGACGATTTTGGAGAATTTACTTTCTCAATTTATTTAAGTTAGGTACCTCCATGAGATCGCTAAAATAGAGCATATCGTGATGAAAAAGAAAACCAAACTTGACGAAAACAAAACTTTATCTTCTAAATGTTCATGTTATTATTAAGAAGAAAGATCAAAGTATTTTGGGGGGGGTGTTTTTACATTTTTTTAATCGTTTCTATCATGTCCGAAATTTTCGTTAAAAATCTTGTTTTGTTTTGTTTTTTTGAGTCAGCAAAATTGACAGATAATCAATCATGGCATTCTTTTTTTTTTTCCATTTTATAAAAAAAAAATGAAAATCTGTTTGAAATTCTTTTAAGAATCAATTATCATTTTTTCAAAACTTTTTTTAAGTCAATAAGAAATGAACAAATTATTTACCTCGTTATTTTTAAGGAAAACATTCAGCTTTCTTTTTTTTTTTTTTTTTGTACTTAGCTTTCACCAATGCGTTTACGATACTTTATGGAAAATATATTATAAAGAATTTAAAATAAAACTGTTAATAATGAGATTAAATCTCATAAGAAAGTTATCTAATTAATTTATAGGTAACTTTCTTATGAAATTTTATCAGAAGTGTACATAAATTACTATAATTTTATGTACATTTATTATATTTTAATGTGTTATTTGTATTTCCATTCATTTTGTTATTAATTTTGATATTTCATTTATGGAAAAATGTCATAACTGAGATTAATATAAAAAGAAGATCATATAAATTTCATAAGATGATACTTATACTTGTAAGTACCCTTCTCAGTTGAAATTGAAAAATCAAATTAACTTCTCCACGCGTGTTTCGCAAAAGTAAAAGCCTTAACGGAGAACAATGTTTAACTCAAATAACGCAACTTAATTGTATTCTGGTTGGTCTTCCGTACTTTATAATTACAGCCCAATTATAAACACAAAATTACATTTCTTAATTACTGCGGATCTTCTGATTAGTCAAAACAATACAAATTACAATGCACTAAAAAATGATCTATCTCATAAGAACACTTAGGAAAGCGGATGCGGCTTTTAACTAATTTTATAATATTTTAACATCTTAAATGTAAAAATCTATCATAATTAAAGAAATAACAAATAATTGTATCAAAAATTCATTTTTCATCGAACTTTCTTTTTTTTTTTTGATTTCAGAAAATATTGTCCAAAAACAACTAAAAGCATGTGAAATTAAATAATACCTTTGTTTTATTGAGTTTTGTACGTTACAATTCAGAGCTGATTTTTAGGTAGGGCGGTCCAATTAAAAACAATAAAAACACATGATTTGCATTCCTCAAAGCCTTGTGCTTTTAACTATTGTAATCACTAAACTGAATTTGATAGAATTTCTAGAGTTTTCATAGAATTAGTTATGGGGTGTAAAATATAAAAAAAATACTTTAGAGAAAAATCATTGTGAATATATGAAAGTTTCTTTAATACAAAAAAAAAAGTGCGTGTCATAAAAAAAAGTGCTAAAATTTGTATATGTTATTTATTTTACTAGTTCCGGTGATACAAAGAGAACCAAGGTTTTTTTAATCAAAATTTACAATGTTCTATAAAAAAGCAAAAATGTTTTAAAATAATTTTAAAAATGGCAAACCGGCGATCTGTCATCGATGAAGTAGCATATTCTCTGCAGATTCGGATCACTGCATTTTTTTTTCTTTTTGACGTCTTTGGTAAACACTGCTAACGGAGCGGCCATGTTTACACTGTCACACCGGCAGGAAAACTGGCGCTATCAAGCTCAAACTTCGATCATGTAACCACTATTGTCTCAACAATAAGCACACATGAGCAGAAGAAAGTGAGACAAAACTATGTCATGGCGAAAGTGTAGATAATATGAGACATTTTATTGTATAAAAAATAGGTATGAAGTTGAAAAAAATTACTATTGACATAAATTAGATATTAAATAAAAAACGTGATAAGATATAAAGAAAAACAAAAGATCAGCTCACAAAGTTCAAATTCAACGAGATTTACCCCTCTTTTATAGAGATATTTTTTTTTAAATTATATATGAGGGATGCAGCAATGTATATCTGTACGCGATATAATCAACATCAAGAATTTGTTGACTGTCTGTGTCTTTGTTTCCATGAAATATCTCGTGAGATATAGAAAAAGAATCATGTTGTTATTGTTTAAACTGTGCTTCCTGTTTTTGCAGTAGTTGTTGTTGAAGATGTGGAACAGTGGAAACGTCTTGCGAAATATTTTGGCCGTATTCCCGGATTTTTGTGTATAGGGAACCCGACGTGACGTGCAACTGTTTATTACTTAAGATGATTGATCTCTCATACATCCGGAGCTCTTTGTCTCACACTGCACCCTTCACAATGCTGCAGAAATTTAAAAGGAATAACTTGAATTCAGAAGCTTGCGTCCAAATTTATTCAAAAGTTATTTTCGAGACAAGACACGCGAAAAATTGTACGAGTAAATTAGTTTGAATTTACAAAAGTTAAGTTGAGACTTTAGGATTGACTTTGATTTTGTCCAAGAGGAAAATGAATAGAAACGGTTAGATTTGCCAGCAAATATTTCGCGCGGATTTCTTTCCAAAGTTATTGGCGAACCGTTTTTAACGGAATATAGAACGAGGAGAGTTTTTACATATTCTATTTTGAAAAAAGGTTTATCAAGTTTATAAACTTTATTTTATTTTTCTAACACATTTACTTTCAAAAAATTGTAGTGGGGTATTGATTCATTTTCTACGGCTCATCAACCTTTTGCAAGTTAATTATTTAAAGCAAAAAAAAAAATCAGATTGTATGATTTTTTTTTTTGGTAATATTGCATAAGTGATACGAGTATTACTTATTACCTATAGCGAGGGAAAGAATAGGTAAATTCATACATTCCCCAAGGATATTTTTAAGTAAGTCAATATTACGAACCCAACGGGAATTTTGAACTCAGCTCTTCGATTAACAATTCCGAGCCCTTACCCATTGCACCACCTGCACACCCAAGCTTACATCACCTGGTACTCCCAAGAGGTCACTCATCTAGGTACTGACGATGCTTGACGCTACTAAATTTCGGTGATCGTACGAGAACCGGTGTTTCAACATGATATCGCCGTAAGAATTAAAAAGATAAAATTAAAAACAAAACAAAACAATAGTATAAACACCACCTAGATTTTATATAAAACAAAACGCACTTTAACTCTTTAATATTTTTTGTATGTTAGCTGGTCAGAATTTTTTGCTATTTTTCGAAAACGGTGTGCAGTCCCTCCTGATTAAATAGTTAAGGTTTTGATGGAGAATCATCTCATTATTTCGAGGTAGAGAGTTACGGAGTAAGGGTTACAGTTTATGCGGATATGTCGAGATGATATCGGTTAACCCTATAATTAAATAGGTTAAGATTGTAGTGATGAGGGAAGCATCCTCTTGGGAGTAGGTTCCACAAAGCAGCAGTTTGTGGGAAGAAACTGCTCATGTCGAACTTACATCACACTAATGAAATACAAAGGGAATTGATGATGCTTCGCTAAAATGTGCGTAGCATTGCGGGTCTTAGCTGTGAAAGTTAGAACTGGTGGAACCAAGGAATATAGTTCTACTGAGCATTTTCCATGGAAACGCCGTGAGAAAGAGTTCGTAAGAGCTGGGAGGATAATTTGTCACCAGGTCGAGAATCTTTTGAACTCTGTCAAACTAGAAAGTGAAGGCTAGGTAGCTTCTGCTGATACATGGCAACAGTACTCAATTTTTAGTCTGATTTGGTACTTTTAAAGGTCGGAGGAGGAGTCATGTAATAACTGTAGCAGTACAGGGAACACATCATTTTTCTAGCGGGTTTAGTATGCACGAGTTCCACTTAAATTGAGTTGACATAAATCCCAATAGGTGGTGAAGCCACGGGGTCAACCCTAGGGACCATCAGTTCATCGTGATTGGTAATAGATCTGGGTTCGATCAGCGGAGGTATTATTTGTTATATCACTCAGAAATCGACATATGGATTCATGGCAAAAGAGATGTTCCACGGCACTCATTAAGGTTCATAAGACATTATCAAAGACCGGAAGTTTTTGATAATGTCTTATGAAAGCCGAACATATTCAGACATAGTCTTTTACTTATATATTTAACACTGCGTTAGTTACATGGTTGACAAACTGTATCTTTTGGTACCTTCTACTAATCTCCTGATTCACTGAGGGTGTGTAGTACCCGGTTTGTGAGGCGGACGTCACTTTGTCTTCTTCGGCGTGATCCGTCATACAACCTGACTAAAATAAATTTTCATGGTTGATATTTTGCATATATATATATATATATATATATATATATATATATATATATATATAATTTTATATTTGGGCAGCAGTCCCTGTTCTATACAAGTTTCATTAAAACGCCTGACAATAAAACATTCCTATAACTCTTATACATGCATAAATCAATCCATAATCATTGATCGCGCGGATATACAAAACATTTAGGTAATTTTTACATAAATTATATCAAAAAAAAGAAAATTACAAAAAAAACAATAAAATTGAAAAAAAAAAATGATTAATTTTGTCACTCGTCTTAAACGAAAATATATATATATATATATATATATATATATATATATATATATATATATATATATATATATATATATATATATATATATATATATATATATATATATATATATATATATATATATATATGCATGTATGTATGTATTCTGAAATCTGAGGTGGCTAATGTAGTGTTAGGTTATAATTATTTTCCATTTTAAAGCACATAAGAAAGCGAAAAGACAGAAAATCATATAGATATCTATTTCTACACATACATATGGATGTTTGAGCAAGACAGAAAGAAAGAATAAAATAAAAAGGCCTAAAAATAAATGTTTGAAATAGACAAAAGCACAACAAAAAAAAATAAATTTGATAAATAAAAGTTCCATAAATTTCTCCGATTTGTAAAAATTTCTAAAAATTTCTAATTCCAAATGATGCTATACATTTCCTTAGCATAAAGCGTTGCAACGCAATGGTTTGTGAAATCTTGGGAGGGGAGTGGGGAAGTTCTTTCCCAACAGTGACAGTAAAGCTCATTCGAACATATATCGCACTTGTGAAACGTTGGCATGGCAACTGCTTTATGCAAATTCTTTGAGTCTAAGAGCGAGCGTCTGAAGCTGACATAATTTCTCCGTGGTAGGATATTGATCCTCACTGTCTGCCTTCACTGATTGACTGATTCCGACTTTGATGCTTACCTGCTGACGTCATAGCCTTTCAGCTGACCTACCTTGTGTTTTTCTCGCTTCGTTGTTGCTATGAGGAAAAGGAACAGTTGACTTCGGGCGATGTTGGTCGTCAGGAGTTATGCAATCCAGCATTTACACACACATATATATATATATATATATATATATATATATATATATATATATATATATGAGTATTCAGAAATTTTCGGTCAGTCGAAGAAAATAGAAAGCAATTCATATAATTCGAAAGAGGTCAAACCAAGAACGTTTTCAGCACCTCCACGCACACAGGCACACATACAGTTCTGTGCAAAATAAGTGAATACCCAAGATAATATTTAAAATATTGTCTCTTTTTTCCAAGTGATCAACAAATGTTAATTAAACTATATATTCGTTAAGAAAAAAATTTCTTAAATCTATTACAACGACATTCAAAAATTTTAGCAAGCTCGTATAAAAATAGTTAATAAAAATAAAAAAAATAAAATGTGTAAAAGTAAGTGACCCCTTCCATTTAATATTTGGTGACTACTACTTTTGAGGTGGCAATATCAACCAGTCTTTTCCTATCATTTTGAAGTTTCTGGATGTGGTGAGTGCCGATTTTGACCATTCTCCTTGGCAAAAGTCCTATAAGTGTTCGATATTACCTGGGTTTTTTGCATGCATTGCTTTCTTTCACCTGAACCACAGTTTTTCAATTGAGTTTAAATCAGGATTTTAACTAGGCCGTTCTAAGACTTGAAATTTATTTTTACGAACCCATTCTTTTGTGGATTTACTTTGTTGCTTGAAATCATTGTCTTGTTGATTGTTTCAGCCACGACCTTAAGCCCAACTTTTGAAATGAGGACAAGACACTTTCGTTCAAAATTGATTGGTATCTTGCACAGTCCATTGTGCCATCAATGCATATTATTTTACTTGTTCCAGCTTCAGTGAAGCCCCCTCCCTCTCCAAAAATCAAAATGCTGTCATCGCCATGTTTAATGGTTGGTATCAAGATCTTCTCATCAAAATCTGTAGTGGGAGTTAGCCAGATACAAAACCTATTGTTCCTCCTAGAAAGCTCTAATTTAGTCTCATCGGACCATAAAACCTTTAGCCAGAATGTATCTAATTTATTAATATGAGCTTTGGCATAGCGGAAGTGAGCATTCTCGTGCTATTTCGCAAGCAGTGATTTTTCTAGGCATTCTCTTATGAAATTCGGCATTGTTCAGATTTCGTAGCACTGTAGATTTACGTACATTCATTCCGACATTAGCAAGTGAGTATTGGAGAACCGAAAAGATCACAACAGTGTTTGCCTGGGCTTGCCAAAATAGATGTCAACTGGCTCATTGTTATTTTTTGCGGACAGCCATTTCTTGATTCTGATGCCATCAAACCAAATGGTATCCATAATCTGTAGCACAGTGGAGAAGCGCACTTGAAATCATTTTGAGAGCTTTTTGTAGCCTTCTTCATTATTATACGTTTAAACTATGCAATTTTTTAAAGCTTCAGGGAGTTCTTTTGATCTATGCATATTTTGTTTTAAATTTAATCACTAACTGCACACATTTGCATACACAATGTGTTCTATTGTTTGACTGTTGTATACACAGATTACCAAAGTGTCATTTTGATTATAATATGTACACACAACATTATTTGCACGGGCAACCACGTAAAACAAAATACGGAGTGTAAATATAAAGGTTCAATTACTTTTGCACATTTCAATTTTTAAGTGATATTTTTATTCCAACTTCGTAAAAAATATTTGGAATTTTTTTGTAATAAGGGTTTTACTCAATGAATGTATAGTTTAATTAAGATTTCTTGATTATCTGGATAAAATTAAAAAAAATATTTTATATATCATCTTAGAATTTCACTTATATTTGCACAGTCTTATATATATTAGGTTGACTAAAAATACTGACGTGAGAATGTCGTTTTTTGACGTAGAAAAGTACGTCAAAAAACGACATTATTACGTCATTATTTTGGACCAATATATATATATATATATATATATATATATATATATATATATAAGGTGTGTGTGTTCCATTGAACACATTATTTTTATACTGTTACTTTCAATTGTATGTTCAGTTTCTTGATGTTAAGATGAGATTCATCAAGGAAATCGACGTAGTTTTTGTTAACAAGTTCCTTCGATATCATCAAGGGTATATTTCGCCTCAACTTCAAGAAACTGATTAGATAACTCCAAAGTATAACTATACAGGTAAGTATACAATCCTTAATATATATAAATATATATATATATATATATATATATATATATATATATATATATATATATATATGCGTGTGTGTATGTATGTATATATGTATTGCGTGCGTTTGTTAATTTTTATTATAAAGTGGTCGTTTCAAAGAAAAAGCATCTATTTTACACACACACACATAAACCGTTACCACATGAGCATATATATATATATATATATATATATATATATATATATATGTGTGTGTGTACGCAAAAATATTGGGTGCATAACAATCTATTGTAACCAGGAACTAATGTGACGGAAGTACCGATTCAGCTCTTGTTAAGACACGGAAGAACCGTGTCGATCATATTGTTTATGTGTGAATGAAAGTGCTGGAGATCGCTTCGGCGGACAGAAAGTTTAAATCAAAACTGCGTTGGTGTTGTTACTACGGACACCCACCTAACAATTTGGGGCACAATCTTTTTTTTTTTTTTTTTTTTGCATTTTTTAAATCTTGATTCCTAATATTGGTAGAAACTTAAATGTCAGTCGCACATCGTAAATATCTTGAATAGTATATATCTAAGCTGAAATACGAACTCATTTTGTCTGGAGAAA